TTTTTTTTTTTTTTTTTTTTTCAGTCCTTTTAGCTATAGGTCAGAGAATGGGTTTATATAATCCTTTGGAGGAACTTCCTAAAAGTATCATGTCATTTAAAGAGTAGAATTTTCCTTTTTTAATAAGTGAGGTGACAAATTTAATAAGATTGGGTACTGCTCTTAAAACACAAACCTACTGCCATCGAGTCGATTCTGACTCATCACCACCCCAATTGCGTTTCTTTACGAAGTTAGATTGCCCAGTCTACCTTCCTCAGAGCAGCTGGTGGGTTTGAACTGTCAACCTCTGGTTAGCAGTCAAATGCCTTAGGCACTGTGCTACTCTTAAGTTTATACTTTAGTAGAGAAAGTAAACAGGTTATTCAGTGATTATGGTACTCTTGTTGCTCTAGTCTCCCACAGACCCAGATTCCAGGGAACGATACATACTTCTAGGCAGTTTCCTGAGAGCAGAGCAATAGTCCATAACTGCCTGTAATGAATGACACTTCATCCCTGGCTCAAAACCATACTTAATACCCCTTATAGCAAACAAAAGAACTCTGATAGCATAGTGCCTAAGGCACTTGACTGCTAACCAGAAGGCTGGCGGTTCAAACCCACAAGGCACTCCTTGGAAGGAAGACTGGGCAATCTACTTCCATAGTGATACTGCCTCGGCAACCCAAGGAGGGGTCTCTATGAGTCTGGGCCGACTTGATGGCATATAACAACAACATAGCAAACAGACCTTATAGCAGAATGCCCCTCTTCCTTTAGTGGAAATTACCTTTATTAGTTTGGGCTGAGGAGTGGTGAAGGGGTCTTCTGGGGAGTAAACCAAGCAGAAGAAAGAAGCTTATGGGCTTAATGACTAGGTGAGCTCAAAATTTTTAGATATCTCTGCTGTGAAGATGGGCCAAATAGTGAAGTGGATTATCAGTTAGCAAGAACAATTTTTAATTTGGGTGAAACAAAGTGTGGGTCTTTGAACAGGAAAAGAAGGGCTCTTTGTCTTGGTTGGTGAGGGAATCTTAGGCAAAGTTTGAGACAGAGGTAAAGATGGTCTCCACCTTGAATATAGAAACCATTTTTAGTTTCAGAGCCTTTAACCAAAACCAAACCCACTACCATGGAGTCAATTCCAACTCATATTGACCATAAAAAACAGAGTAGAACTGCCTCATAGAGTTTCCAAGGCTTAAATCTTTACAGAAGCAGACTGTCCATCTTTTCCCTGTGGAGCAGCACATGGGTTCAAACCACCAACCTTTTTGTTACCAGCCAAATGCTTTAACCACTGTGCCACCAGAGCTGCTAGCCTTTAAAGCTAGGCCTAAATTACCTTATGAAATTCTGTGCTAAGCTGGGTTTGGAAAAATATTCCAGTGATTCTGAATCAATTATTTAAATATAATCATCTTCCTGTAAGGAAGGGACACTGCATATGACTCACTATACTTAGTTGTTTTTCTCTGATTTGGTGTTGAATTTGCATGCATCCCTTGATAAAATGCCGAGCACTTCAATAAGGAGGATCTCCATCTTTAAATTGCAAATAATTTCAAGTGATCTGCCTACTCTTTAGGCTGTGGAATCAGGACTATGATCTGTGCCTTTTTAGTCTATCTGCTTAGTCTATCTACTGTTGTTGTTGTTGTTGTTTGCCGTCGAGTCAGCCCTGACTCATAGCGACCCCTCCTTGGGTTTCCAAGGCAGTATCACTACGGAAGTAGGATTGCCCAAACTTCCTTCCGAGGAGTGGCTGGTGGGTTTGAACCACCAGCCTTCTGGTGAGCAGTCAATTGCCTTAGGCACTACTAGTGAATTATATATAATCTGACACTTACATATAGTGTGAGAAATCTATCTTCATAAGAGGGTGAGAAGCTGTGCAGCACAGGTAGCAAAGGTAGCAAATTTCTATGAGAAAGGCCTAACAACAAGACTTGGAGAGAAGAGATTGAGTAAAGACAGGAGTTTTATGGGCAGAACCTAGGAGAACATAGGCTAAAATAAAGAGGAAAATTCCTGCAGAAACAACAATTTCAACTATAGGTTAAAAGGAGAATATAAATCAAAGGTCCAAACAAGAAAGAAACAGTTTCTTGCCAAAGCTAGCTAAAAGTATTAACTCAGACCAAGACTGAATGAGATTAGGGGGCCCAATAGACCAGTAGTAATGTAAAGCATTGTAATCAGAGAAGCAGAGATTTACTTTGCATTTTCCTCTTTTCCTCTCCAATTCTCTGTTCTCTCTTCCTTTATAACTCTTCCTTTCCTCCAAATGCTTGGATAAAACTTGTTTTTATTGTTAAGATTAATGTTCATTGTTAAAGTTATTGGCCATCCATCTCTTGTACATCAAAGGCAATTTTACAAACCTCTTGACATAGGGTGTCCACATAAGGCCCTTGCCTATACCCCAAATACATAATTAAGGACAGTGTGTTAACTACAATCCATCCATTACAAAAAATACAAAGTTACATTATTTCCTTTACAAACAATGGCAAAAGCATTTAGAAATGGTAGCAAAGGGAGGGTAAAATTTTTGGCCATGGTACAAAGCAAATCTAATTTGTTGAGATGTAGAGCCACACTGGCCCTTGTTGGCATTATCCATTAATGAGTTCAATGTGTAGGAGTAGGGAATGAAAAGACATCCATCTAGGATGTCTCTCACCATATGACTTTGGTGACTGTGAATGTATGGGGGTCGTCACTGGGAATACAAATAGAGAAGATGTTTGTGGGGAGATGTAGGTTTGGAAGGAGTTTGGGGCATGTGGGGCTTTAAGGTTATTTATTGGTAGCAATCTAGGTGAGAAATTGGCATTCAGCAATTGGATGTGTGTATGTGAAGCTCTGAAGAGATTAGCATTTGAAATTTTAATATATTTTAAGTATTTCTTGAGGCCATGAATTTGGACATCACACAGTGAAAGTAAAGGGTCAAAGCTCTTAGAAATACAAATACTTAAGGTTCACCTTATTCATATCATTCTGGAACTTAGACCTTAAAACATAGTTGTCACATGAACAGAACCTCCTGGAAAGCCTCTCTTGAGAGTTATCATCACTTTCATATCTAGCTTTTTGTTATTGTTGTTTGTTTTTCAATTGTTTCACGTTATTTTGGTTCTTCTGCAGTGCAGCTTATATTTTTTTAAGGAAGATATACAACTTACACTTCTGTGACAGTAGATGCTACAAAATTCCATAAGATGATCACACCATTTAAGGTTCCAGCAGCTATCAAATTATACCCTTCCAATTGTAATAAATCAATGCAGTTCACTTCTACACTGATAGCAGGATTCTAAAGGACAAAAGAAATAGATTCATTCACCATTATAATCACAATATTTAACCAGAGTACAAACAATATGCATACTCTGTAATTCTGTGATTAATTTAAAACAAAATACTGTATTTTTTTAAAATCCTAGAGTATGAAATTTAGCAAAATCCATTAAAAATTGTAGTTTGTAGAGGTCATTAAAGCAACAAAATATACTCTCCTTCTCTACTGGTTCCTTCTTCTCAAACCAAAAAAACCAAAAGGGAGATCTGGTGGCATAGTGCCTAAGGCATTTCACTGCTAAATTGACCAGCCACTCCTCAGAAAGAAGATTGGCAATCTACTTCCATAGAGATAGCACCTCAGAAACTCAGGGAGGGTTTTGTAATCGGAAAATACTGGAAACTATCCAAATGCCCACCCACAGAAGATTAATTGAATAAATTATGGTGCATTCGTTAAAATGGAATACTATAGCACTTTCAAAAACAAAAGTAAAGATTTGAATTTACAGCTTATAATGATCGCTAAACCAAAATGAAACACACTGTCACTGAATGGGTCCCAACTCAAAGCAACTCTGTAAGACAGTAGAACTGCCCCGTATGGTTTCCATGGCTATAAATATTTACAGAAGCACACTGCTTCATCTTTCTCCCACAGAGTGTCTGATGGGTTTGAACTGCTGACCTTTTAGTTAGCAGCCAAATACATTAACCACTCCACCACCAGAACTCCTCATATGATCTCTAGAATATATTAAGTAGAATAAGCAAAGAACAGAAGAATAGGTATTGTATTCTACTTTTGCTTAACCCAGGATGATGCATCCACATACTCTATGGTAATACATCCCTTAAAGCGGTAGACCACGGGACACCAGAGGACCAACATTCAAATTGAGGAAATGCAGGACAAACAGGAGTGCATAAATATGAAGAGCGCAGGATGAGGGTTACAGGGTAGGGAGGGGAGGAGGCTGGGTTAGGCTTGGACATGGTGAACGGGGAATGAAACTAAATGTACATGTAACGTTGAATGTAAAACAAGCTCTTAAAATAAATAAATAGAAAGGGTGGAGAGAACAAAAACAAGGATAAACATTTGATTATAGTTTTTAGGAAAACATTGGAGAGTTTTGGTAAATTGGTGGACTAGGCAGACAGACTGCACAGACCATCTTCAACAAAGAAAAGGGGAACCAATTAACACAGATACAAAAGATAATCCTGGAGCCCTGAGCTTTGAAAGGAAGGATATAGAAGCAGACTAAACTCCAACTAGCAGAAGAACCTGTATGAAAACACTGAAAATGGAGACATATGGAGCTGCAGTCTGTCAGTGATCCTGATGGCACAGACAGCCTGGATATTGCCAAGTGGTGTGAAGACCTAAGAATTAACCTAAAAATCAGCCCTACTAAGCAGGCGCTGCACAGAGGACTGCACTGGTGGCTGGTGAGTAAAAGAGGAAGCAGCAAACAAGAAGGTGGGTTGAGCTGTGGACTTTTGCCTATCCAGATGGCACAGCCATTTTGAATGTTCACAAGTGGTTCGATCATTTTGGATATTTAAAGTGACAGTGTTATCCCAGATTCTAGGGAGTCAAGAATAGACTCCACTTGATGGGAACCCCAAGGACATTAAGGACACGAAAGTGAGAGACAGCAACCATGCCCATATGACACAACTACACCTGCACTTCCTGCAGGTCCGCTTACTGAGTGAGAGCCACCATTTCCTTTTCCACCAACTGCCCAATGACAAACAACCACCAAGAAGAGCCTGACTCACCCTTAACTGCTCTTCACAAATGGTTAACAGAGAGCTAAATACAGCAATGTCACAGTGTCTCAGGGGCAACAGACCATCACAGCCACACAAAGAAGCAAGATACAGTGGTAGAAACAAGGGTATAGGAAATAGACCCAAAACACATCCCTGAGGAAGAAGCAGCATTGGAACTTCCTGATAAGGAATTCAAAACAATTATATTTAGGTATCTTCAAAGGATTGAGAGACAAATCAAGGAAAACACTGACAAAATTAAGGAAAACACAGACAAAACCCTAGAACAATTTTGGAAGACAATACAAGAACAAAATTACAAAACAAATGAAAAATTAGAAATGATACAAAATCTACAGATAGAAATCTAGAAGATTAATACTAAATTTTCAGAAATAGATAAGACATTAAAAGGGCAGAGAGGTAGAATTGAATCAATGGAAGACAGAATTAATGGCATTTAAGACAAATATTTGAATAATTCTTTGGAAAGGATCAATCAGAAAAAAAAAAAAAAAAAGATCAAAACAAAATGAAGAAAGCCTAAGGATGTGAGATACTATCAAAAGGAATAACTTGCATGTAATTGGAATTCCAGAATAGGAAAAGAAGAAAACCACAGAGAAAATTGACCAAGATTTGTTGGAAGAGAACTTCCCTGATATGATGAAAGCTCAGAATATATCCATTCAAGAAGTCCAATGAACCTCAAACAGGATAGATCCCAAAAGAAAATCACCAAGACATATCATCATCAAACTCATTGTTCTGGATACCTAGTGCTGTTCTGACAGGAATATACCACAAATGGGATGCTTGAACAAACAGGAGTTTATTCTCTTACAGTTTGGAGGCTTTAAGTTCGAATTTAAAGTATCAGGCTTTGGGGGCAGGGTGAAAGCCCCTCAACCTTGGGCTTCAGCTCTGCCTCCTGTGCCTGGCCTGCTGAAGGCAGAGGCTTTTCTGCACTCAGACAGCTACTGGCTGCTGAGACTGACAAGACCAAGGTTGACAAGTAAAAAGGCACAGTCCCGATGTTACCAAATTACATAGCAGGCCTTTAATTCAAGTCCATGAAAGTCCCAGGGTCGCAGAGCATAGCAGGCAGACTCAGCTACATGCAAGATTCAAGCATGCCATAAGTTAGAGAACATTCCCAAAGCTGCTACTTGTATATAGGAAGCAGACCACATCCCTAAAGCAGCTATTCACTGCTTGTGATAGATCACACCATGGAGTTGATTGATAGTCTCATCATGGGGAATAACTACCACCAGCTTCCCAGCCACTCAACCAAGTTGACATGCAACTTTAACTACCACACCCATCAAAACCAAAGGCAAAGAAAGAATACTGAAAGCACCACAGGAAAAATGAAAAGTTACTTACAGAGGACACCCAATAAGAATAAGTTCTGATTTCTCAGCAGAAACAATGCAAGCAAGAAGGCAATGGATGGTATACATAAAACCCTGGAAGAGAAAAATTTCCAACCATGAATTTTATACCTGGCAAATTTGTCCCTCAAATATGATGGTGAAATTAGGAGATTTCCAGATAAGCAGAAACTAAGGGAATTTGTTAAAACCAGGCCAACTTTGCAAGACATACTGAAGGGAGTCCTTGGAACAGATAACCAATATTAGAAAACAACAAACAACCATTAATACACAAGACGAAATAACCCAGAAACCAACACAGCTATGGAAGTGTCCAAAGTAAAATAAGCTTATAAGATTGTAAACAGAGAACCAGAGATATCAATTTGCAAATGAGGACAGCCAAAAACCAAAAAGAGGAAAGCCAAAAACCAAAAAGAGGGGAAAAATAGCGTAGTTAGTGTAGTTACAGAACTTCTAAATGGTGAGGAAGTCAAGAGAGTTGCAAGATAGAATGGACTGTTTTAAACTCAGGGAGAAAATTATAAATCACATGGTTTCTTCAAAAGGAAACAATAAACCTTCACATCACAAGAAAAAGAGGACAAGCACAAATGTTTAGCAAATACTAAAACAATAGCAAAAAAAGGAAATGATAACATGATTCATAAACATAATGAGCTCAGCACAGAAAATTATATGGAACAAAGAAACAAGGAACACCATGAAAAAACACATAACAACATGACAGCAACCAATCATTTCTGTAGATAATTACATTGAATGCCAATGGATTGAATCCACCACTCAAGGACAGTCACTTGCAGACTGGATAAGAAAATCAATATGCTGTCTACAAGAGACAGACCTTACAGACAAAGACAAAAATAGACTAAAAATAAAAGTTTGGAAAAAGTTATATCAAGGAAATGGCAACCAAGAAAAGAGCAGCAGTGGCAATATTAATTTCTGATAAAATTGACTTTAAGACAAAAACCACCATACAAGACAAGGAAGGACATTGTATAAGGATCAAAGGATCAATTGAACAATAAAATATGACCATAATAAATATTAAAAAAATATTGAAAGAGCCACAAAATACATAAATAAGACTTTAAAAGTGTTGAAAAGGCAAATAGATGACTCCACAGACACAGGGGGAGACTTTAATACACCACTTTCAATGAAAGACAGAACAACTGGAAAGAAACTCAACAAAGATGCATATGAAATAAAAATACAGTCCACCAACTTGACTGTATAGACATCTAAAGAGCACTTCACACAACAACAACACAATATACGTTCTTTTCCAGTGAACATGAAACATTCTCCATGATAACCATATATTAGGCCATAAAGCAAGCCTTAA